CGAGCACATGTGGAATACTTATGAGAACTGGACTGGCCTCCACATTTCAAAGAGCTGATATCATTCAGACCTTCTCCTCCGACCACAATGGAATTAAGTTAGAAATTGGAAAATAAAAAATAACTGGGGGGGGAAAATCAAACATTTGGAAACATAAAAACACTCTAATCAGCTCAGCAGTCAGCGAACAAATAAAGATCGGGTCCGCCCAGAGTGCGTGGTGATGAAGACGGCGACATCCTACAATGTGGGACGCAGACTTCGGCTGCTGTGAGGAAGGCAGGCCGGGAACGAATGCGTCATGCTCCCCTCTCAAGTCAGCGGAGCCCAGAGCACGCAGGCGGGAGGCAGGGGAAGAGCAGGGCAGAAACGCTGGAACAGAAAAGAAGACTGACCAAGCCGAGGCTGATCTGGGACACAGAAGGGACGGCGCTGCAAGTACAGCCGAAGTGTAAACCGTCATCATAAACAAGTTTTAAAAAGTCAATATGAAAATACCTGGAGGGATTTAATGCCTATTGACAAATTCCTGGAAAAATGAAACTTATTTTTTAAAAATCGGGAAACCTAAATTAGTCCAAGAAGAAAATCAGACCTTCCCTGCCCCACGAGTATAGGCAAGGACTGGCCCACAGCCACCAGAGAAACAGGCCGCCCACCGTCAATGTGTCCAGAGATCAGCAGAGGAGGGAATGCCTGCTCCCTGATTCTGGGGCCCCTGACACCCGGATACCATAAGCAGTGTGAGGCAACAGAGGAGGGGGTACAGCTCGGTCTACTGACAGACGACCCTGAACAACTCCAGCCAAGCCCCTCAGAGCACATGCTGTGAAGCGGGTTTCTTTAGCACTATACGATTGTTTTAATGTTATCAAAAACTGAATAAAGCAACTCACTAAATTAACAGACACAAGAAGAAAAGCCATGAGTCTGACAGCCCGATGCAGTATCAAAATCCAGTCTTTCCCCACCAGCAGCGGGATAGAACCTAACCTGACAACGGGAGTCTGCCAGGCCCCACAGCTCTCGCCGCTCTCCCCATCTGGCCGGCAGCACGTCCGGGATGCTTTCGGAGGCCCCTGCTTCCACTCAGCGTGCCCTGCACTCTGGCTCCACACAGGCGGCCAAATGCGGGCACTGGCTGGCGCAGGGCCACGGGGCAGATGCACCGTGCACGGGCAAGAAGACAAATTCCACACGTGTGCCCACTTGTGCAGGCGTGCATCCGCTCAGCCCCTCCCGGCTCGCATGGCCGGAGCACTGGCAGTCGGAACCAGCACCAGAGGCTGACCATCCTTTTCTTTCCTGTGAACTTCGTCCCCGCGCCAGCCAGTGTGCACAAACCTCCAAGGCAGCGACACAGCTGGGAGGGGCTGAGACACCTAGCACTGCCCTCAGGTCAGCTACAAGACTCACCCCACCTGCCACCTCGCAGCTCCTCCTGGAAACTCAGTGGCATCGAGGCAGAGGCCTACGGTGAAGCCTGGCTCTTGGGCAGGCGATGAGAAAGAGGTGCTGCAAGTTTCCCGGGGGACCTAAACTGGAAGAGACCAGCCCCGGTGCTGGGGTTCTTGTTCCTAAGGAGGAGGAAGTCCTGTCAAGGTGTTCACGATGAACATGGCCAGAGCCCCATCCCACCGTGTTCCTGAAACTCGGACGGCAGGCTGGGTTGTGCCCATAGTTCTCTCTCCTCTTGTTATGAAATCAGGAGAAACATCCTCGGTCAGAGTCCTGTGGGCTCCCTCCAACCTGCCCCACATGCCCTGCTGCTGACACTTTAGAGGGAAGTCCCCGGAAGGGCTGTGGAAAGAAGGGGCAGTGGCCATGCAGCGGGGACACCTGGTCAGCCTCAGGCACAGTGAAGATGGTGGGGGGGGGGGGGCATATGGTTAGTCTGCTTCCCAGTCCAGGCTGGCTGGGGTGGGGGGGCCTCATTATTATTTAAAGACCTAAAAATATTGCTGGCTGTAAATCAGCCTCTGCTTCAAGGCTATGGGCCCTGCCCCAAGTACAGGAGGAAGGAGCAGGTCTGTGCACCACCTGTGTCTCGTGACAGCTGAGGCCTAAACTCCTGGTGGCACTCTGGAAAGCCACCTCAGGAAGGCAGGTGAGCAGCCTGGTGTCGCAGTGTGTCCTCAAGGCGACAGGTCCTGACACAGGTAACTGGGGGCTCCTAGCCACTACCTCAGCCCCTGGCCAAACCTGTCTTGGACCAGGCCCCTCCGGAAAGGATCCCTGGCCACCAGTGGCTCTCACAGCACATGACCTCAGGTGCCAGGAATGCGCATGCGGCGCAGCCGCCATCTGTTTCCCATTACCCACGCTCTGCTGCGGGAAACCTCATCTGCGTCTCCGCGCCCAGCGCCCGCCTGGGAGAGATTGATTTGGGCTCATTAGAGACTTCGGCAGCAGGCCGAAAGGTGAGGCACATCTGTGCCCACGTGGCTTGCGGGCTTGTGGGCAGCCACATCACAATGCCCACTGCAGGGTTGGGCACAGCACACCAAGGGCCCCTGGGCCAAGGATGCCTATGGACGCCAAGGGCCTGGAGGCCCCCAGATGCTTCCTCCTCAGAGGCTGGTGCTGCACAGCCCGAAAGTCCTCAGGGCCTCTGGGCCAAAGCGACTTCCAACGTCATGCCCAGCTGTCTCCGGGTGGGGTGGCTGTGCTCAGGAGGCAGAGAACTCCCAGGTTTGGACGAGCACTGCTGAGCGAGGCCCCGGCCTGGGCCCCGCCAGCACACCAGCCACGACCATTGCTCCCCTTCTGCCACAACCTTCCAGTTCACTAAGAATGCCCTCTGCTTTAACTTTTCAACTTATCAGTACAGTAAAAGTTCATCTCTGGAACACGGCCCATAAATTTTTCTTAAGTTCCAGCAGCTGTATTCCGAATAAGCAAGGAGAGACCAGGCTGATGTGAGCTGGGGCGGCAGGAAGGCCCACTCCTGGGGACCTTGGGGTGCTGCAGCCTGGGGTGCTCAGGGAAGCCACCTGGGCCCTCAGCCATTTGTGAAGTCAGGCTGATGGAGTTTAAGGCACAGAGGACTAGAGTGCTCGACTCCACAGTGAGAAGGTCTCGGGGAGGCTTGAGGAGCAGGAGGGAAGGGTGTGAGAGAGCACCCTGCTGCCACAGGAGGTGGGGAAGGCTCCGCACCCAGCTAGGCTGACTCAGCTGCTGAGGACCCAGCACCAGTGTGGCTCTGCTCCAGCTCCGGAGGAGACGACCATCATTATGACGTTCACTGCCACTCCCGGCAGGTCCACAGGCCCCCTTCTCTGGGAGGAAGGCACGAGAAGCTCAGCCACCCCTCGCTGGGCCCGGGCCCCCTGGGAGGACTGTCTGACCACCTCCTGCCTTCAGGGTCTCTATGGGTTCCCTAGAATGACAGAAGGAAGGAGGAATGGTTGGAAAGTTGGGAGGGGTCATGCCAAACAAGTGTGAACTTGTGCCCTGTCCCCAAATATAACATGTGACCTCCTTCTCCCATCTTGTAGGGTGCCTGCTCTGACACTAACCCTGGGTCTCCGGCAGGGCTGCTGTTGACGAGACGCCAGCAGCCACTTCAGCTCTAATGTGGATGGGCACCTCCCAGTCTCACTCCACCTGATCTCAGTGTCTGTCCTCCGACCTTCACATCACTGCTCTTGGGCACGCACTTCTGCCCTTGGCTGTCCTCACTCTGTTCCCCTTGGGATGGCCTGGTGACAATGTGGCACCAACAGGTTGCAGCCAGAGCATGGAGATACCTGTGGGGTGCTGCAGTGTGTCCGACTCTCCCCTGGGGCCCATCCCTACCCCATCCCACCTATGTGCCTCAGGAGTCCATTGGTGCCCACCCAGGGCCACCTCCCCTGGTTGTGGGGTCTGGTCTAGGCAAATGTGAGGCAACCTTGGTAGGCTGCTGGGCAAGGCTTCCCCACCTAGAGAGGAGCCTGGGAGACATCTTCTTCAGACTCCTGTCTACGGAGGGCGGCCTAGACCACACAGCCCTGCAGAGGAGGCAGCCACCAGGGCCCAACCTTCAGGGCACCAGTGATGAGGGCCCAGGTGAAGCCCGAAGCTGGGCGGCTGCTGCTGCTTCTCCTGGCACCCCCTGGAGCCCTGCTCCCTATCAGACCTGGGGTCACAGAGTTGCCTTTCCAAGGAGCCTCTACTTGCTGGCTGTGGTCAAGCCTCAGCTTTCTAAGACTCCTTGGCTAATGGGGGCTCCTCGCCCACCCCCAGAAGCCAGTGTGCACCCAGGAGACCCTCTGGGAGCTGGAAGGCATAGGACACACCCAGCGGCATCCCATCCCTCATGGCCTGCAGCCCCTGTCCAGAGTGAGGCCTGGAAAGGAGGCTCCCCATCCCCAAACTCCATCCCCCCCATCCCAAACAGGGCTGAACAAGCAGGCTGGGCCAACCTGTTCTGAGCACCAGGCACAGGCTCAGACGTGGCCCCCAGGTGCTCCGCAGGCATGCTAGATGGAAAAAGCATGGGACACTATGAGGTTTACCGGGACACTGTGGGGAGGTTTTCAGCAATGCCCCACTCCACCCTGAGGCCCCGCATCCCTTCCCTGCTGCCCGTGAGGAACGGCCTCCCTGGGGCCTGCTTACAGACCGCCACCCGGGCGTGACTCCGTGGATTTCTCCACATTGGGCTATTTTTGTTTTTTGATTAATCAGTTCCTTACTGACCAAATTCCTCTGAGTCTTTGCAAATGGGCTTGTGTACTTACTCCCGGACTCTACATGCCTTTTCTCTAGATGGACAAGACGTGACTGCTATTAACCCAAGGTCTGAGAGAAACCCAAACCATGTGAACGGTTCACAAACGCCCACGCCCCCTTCTTCCTGCGCGGGCCCTGCAGACAGGCCTGCCTGCACCCCGCCTCAGAGTGATTAATTAGCCAGCGATCTGCAACAACTCCTCTTCATGCCTAAATATTGTTTCAGCCTATCAGACTGTTAGTGCAGAGTAGGATAAATGACACCTCGGGTCTGGCGCACTGACCTGCAGGGCCTGCTGCTCATCCAGGCTCCAGACAGCCAGCGCCTTCTCCGCGGAGCCCGAGACGCCCCTGGCCTTCTGGGAGTCAAAGTCAAGGCCCATGACGGGCTCTGTGTGGCAGGCGATGCGGCTGCACACCTTCCGCTCAGAGACATCCCACAGGGCCACCGATCCATCCTCATAGCCAGCCAGGAGGAGCGGGCGGGAGCTGGAGTCGGCCTGCGGGGAACAGCACAGGTCAGCTCCGGAAGGGTCCTGGTGTGTTTTGGGAGCAAGGGACTTGAGCAATGGGCTGTCTCTCCTGGGGGTGGCCGAGCTGGGGACCTGTTTCCTGTGTTCTTCACATGGCAATACCAGTTCAGAGGCTCTGCCCACCCCCTGGCGAATGGGATGGCCAATCCCATTGGTACAGGGCCTGCACGGGCTGGTGTTGGGGCACCCCAAGGACTGGGGCTGGAGGACACAGAGCTCCGGGCAGCTTGGCACGCCCCAACCTGACACTGCCACGCCCCTGCTCGCCAGCCCAGGTCCCACCAGGATCGCAGGGTGCTGTTGGGCCCTTTCCGCAGGCCTGAGACTCTCGACCACCCCTTGGTGGGGCCAGTCACCTGTCTACAGCCACCAACCAGAGAAAATTGCGAGCTCTTTGTCAATGAAAAATGAACTTTCTGTGCTTTGTCAACGTCGCTGCGGAAGCCCCCCACCCCCGCCCCGATCCCTGGGCTGGGTGAGCCGCCGCGGCGCTGAGCTATTGTGATAAATGAGGGCACAGGTCAGAGGGCCTGCGCCCTGGGCAGACGCCTCGTTTATCTGGCCTCTGTATCAACTCCAGAGGAGCGCTGCAGGATTCCAAGTCACCCTGGCACCGAGAGTGGTGACACCATGCTTGGTGCCCCGTCCTCAGAGACTACCAACAGGGCATGCCTCCAGGACTAGTGCCCAGGTTGCCTCTGGGACAAAGAGCACACTCTGGCTGATGCCTTTTGCCCTTCACTTATCTCAGCATTCCCTGCTGAGCTGCATGGGGCTGGCCTCACGTGAGTGTGAGAAATAACTGAGCACATCCCCTCCAACTGAGCTCCGGCTGGGCCTGGCCCTCAGCCTCTGGATGGTCAGCCCTGAGAATGGGGGCCGGGGCGGCTGGTCAATGAGGCTGCCCCCAGAGACTGCTCACATGCAATTTGAGGACGGTCCACTGCTGGCGGGCAAGGATGGCACTGAGCAGTGTCTGGGTCTCACTCGGTGTGGGCCGACACAGGGCATCACACAGCCCCGCTCGCCCACCTGCCAGAGCTGCTGTTCATGTGCCGTGTGGACGCTTGTGCCCACCCAGAGGGGCTCTGGGCCCAGATGCTGCACGTACCATGCAGAGTGCCTCCCCACAATGTTCCTGAGTTCTCAGAAAGAACCCTCCTTTGGCCACACAGGCAACCTGGTTTAACCAGAGGTACAAGGGTGTGTGAGTAACATGAGTGGACACCATGTCCTCAACCCAGAAAGCAGAGCGTTCCCCAAGCATCAGAGGGAAACCGAGGCTGTGGGTAGAGTGCACATTGTGGGGCCCAGTTAACAATGGGAGCTGGGGGAACCTGAGGCAGATGGCTCTTTGATCTGGAGGAGACGGCTGTGCCAGGGGACAAGGCTCACAGCCCCGAGAACTACACACAGCCACAGTGAACCCCCCCGAGGCCAGAGCTGGGCCAGTGGACACTTCTTACACGTCCCTGAAAATGCTTGTATAGTCATTTTTTTTCTGTGATGTGTTCACACAAATCAAAACATGAAGAAGGAGCCTAAGGAAGTGAGTAGGGGTCCTGGGAGGGGGCCTGTGACATCCTGTGCTCCTCCCTGAGGCCCTGCAAGCTGACTGCTACACTGCCCACTCGGGCCTGACCATGTGAGCAGTCCCCAGACGGGCCCTGAGACCGTGATCAGCGGGGGGGGCGTGCAGCACCCCTCACTGGCTTGTGCACAGAGCCTGCTGGCTTTTGCCACCAAGCAGCACAGTCTGGGGGAGTGGAGGGTCCCCAATGGTACTGGCACACTTGCCCTGTAGTTCTGTAACTGGGAAGAACTTCCCTTTGGCTCTTTTGGTGTAAAATTTTTTACACCACTTGCTTCTGAAGCACAGAGTGCTTTAAGCAATGGTCAGGCCCTCTGCTCAGGCAGCTGCTCGCAGACAGCTGTGCCTCTCTAGAGCGGGCCTCCCCTGCAGGCTCCCGATCTGGACCCAAGGCAGGGCGAGGGCCAGGTGAAAACAGCCCCGATGTGCTGTCTGAAACCCAACCAGGAATTCGCACCAAGCCTCAGACCACACCTGTCAGACCTCACCTCAGTGGCTGGCTGCGAGGAACTCATCTGGGGCCTACTTGGGTCTGTTGCCTTTGGGACAGAGCTCTGACGTGTTCCCACCCATGCTGCCTCGGCCCAGCCTGCCCCCTGGCTCCCTGGGCACACTCTTCCCTTGCCCAGGCCTCCTGACACTGCTGACACATTTTTTTCTGTTGGTTTCTACAGCGCAAGCCCACATGATGATGCCTGTGGCCTCCGGGTTCTGATCACCTCAACTAGTTCAGGGGCTGCTCACTACCGACCTGCCGGCTGAGGCATTACAGGAGCCAGACTGGCCTGCAGGGGCTCACCCAGTGGCTGCCCGGGGGCCCAGATGCTGAGCTCCGGCCTGCAACCCCCACCTGCACTGCACACCTCTCCAGCTTCTTTCCTAGCATGTGGGGTCCCTGTGGCCCCTCACCCCAATGACAGGCTGCAGGTATGACAGTGCTCCTATGGCCACAGGCCTTTGGTGGCCACACCCACAGTGCACACTGACCTCCATGGGGTGAGGACCTTAAGTTACTATGAGAATTTGCCCGGTGACCCCTCCTGTATGTGTGGTTGGGCCAGCCTAGAGGGACCCCAGCAGGCAGGTCCTGCCTGAAGCACCTCGAGGTGCTGAGGGGAACCCCCAGCTCAGGCAGGGCCCCAGCTCTGAAATGGGAGTAAATGACTCCACACGAGGCTGGATTCTGGTGGTCCTGACATTCTGTGAGATAATCATCATGACAATGCAGGTCCGCCTCCCCGAGGGCAGAAACGAGAATGTCTCTGAAAGCTTCAGAAAAAAACACCATTTCAGGACATTCTGCCACACTCAGACTAATAAACTGTAACCTGGATCTCCAGGTTTGGAGGGAAAAAAGGGACATTTAAGATTAACACAGACTTTTCTTTCGTGTTGGATACGTATCAGCCAACAAAAACGTGATTTGTCCTCTGTCAACTATATTAATTACCTTAACAAGTTTGTACATCCCGTTTCTACACATTTTTCTGCAGGAATTTTTACATGATTACGCAATGACACCGCTTCCAGGGAGTGGAGTCTGAGCGGATGCAGTCCCCGACATCCTGCCCCTGGGCGCAAGCGCCACACCAGCAGCAGCGTCAGGGCCTCGGGGGTATTTCCCACCAAGCTCCACCGCAAACCTGCTGGCGCCGGGAGCTCAGTCATCCAGGTGACCCTGGGAGCCTCACCTCCCCACCCCCAGGGGCTCTTTGGAGGGACTGTGGCAGCGGCAACACAGAGATCCCCCATGCCAAGTGGAAAGTTATCAGGGAAGGAACTACAGGAGGAAACAACCATTGGAAAAGCCGGGGAATCTCTCTGGTCCTTAGACAGCAGAAGGCTGGGGACTGGGTCTCTGGGATGCCTGTCCCCATGAACCCTGCTGGTCACGTGCACACCTCCAGATGGCCCGAGTCCATCTGGTCTAACTCGTACGGAGAGTGCAAATGAACACTGAGGCACAAAGCAGGGATCACTGGCGCCTGATTCTGGACCAGCACAGGGTGACCCTCAGAAGGTGCGGGTCAACTGGACAGTGCTGAGAAAACGGCCCATGGGCAGCACTCCTGAGATGGGCACTGGTTAGTGACTTGCTAACCCTGGGTCTGCCATGGCCAAGAAGCTGCCCAGGACTCTTTCTAAGTGAGCACACCAGGCCATTTCTCTGCCGAGCCAAATGCGAGAGACCCATAGAGTGGGTGTGCGCGTGTACACTTTGGGCCAATGTTGACCTCTGGTGTGCTGGGGTTCGGCCTCCAGGGGAGCCAGGGCCTCTGGTGGAGGTGGGCAGGCCCAGGACGATCCTCTCCAGGCTTCAGGAGCAGAAAGAAACCCATCCCTCTGGAATTGGGGACTGAGACTGTCCCCCTCACCCCCTGGCCTCCCAGCTTCTGCTACCAGCCCCAGGGGAAGCCTCCTGACCCTCAGTAATCAGAAAGAACAGCCACCAAGTGTGGTTGTGGGGAAAGTCAGCATATTAAGCCCACTCCTGCCTCTCTGAGGCAAAAAAAGTCACAAAAATGAGAATCCTAAGCACACCCAGCCGTGTAGGCTTGTGGGGTTAGTCGGTACTTCCCTCCCAGCCCTGTGCAGGGCCATGGACCAGTGTGCAGAAAGGAGCAGAGCCCCTTCCTGGGAGGGGCTGTCTCAGCTGACCCAGCTGTCCCTCCTCACTGCACTGCAGGGGGTGCCCCCCCTACCCCCAGCCCCACCTTCGGAGGATGGCACAAGTGACGCTTGCCCTGGGGCAGTTTGCAGGAGCATCCTTCCAAGCAGCGTGAGGGTAGCAGGGGCGGCCAGTGACGGGCCACTGTGGAGTCAGCGAGCACACCTTCTCCCAAGGGGCTAATTGTCCTGCTGGTTCCAGGATAAACCAAACCCTGAGTGGGGCATGATTCAGGGCCTGGCGGGCGTGGCCAACAGGGCGTGGCTGACGTGCACTGGGCCTTACCTGCCACAGCTCCAGGCACATGGGCATGCCTGGCTTGGCATCTGCCTCTGGCTTCAGGGTACACACTGATGTCTTGGATGGCATCTCCAGAATCTGAATCTGACAGTAAGAAAACAAGTTGATTTGGGCCGGCGCCAAGTTGAGTCTGTTCTATACAAACAAGAGAATTTTAAGGTGATTAGCCAAGACTGCTGCGAGTTTCTGTCTGCTCCTGGTAGGAACCTGGGAGCCCGGCCTCCTAATTAGGCCGCACAGGCTCATGGGCTCCAGTGCTACCAGCCTTGCGAAACAATGTGCATGGCGTCACTCCTGAGTGACCAGCACATCCCTCTGAGTAGCATTCCCGCCCAGCGGCTGCCTCTGGCCTCTCCCAATTTTACCTCCTTGCTGAGCAGGAGGCCTGGCTCACTGAGCACTGCCTCATCTCGCCCACTCTCCTGACCTCTGCTTGTTTCCCGTTCCTGCTGTCTGTTTTACATGGGAACGACTCTGCACTCTCAGGCATAGCAAAGGGTGCAAAGACTTTTACAGGGACCACTTGGGCACCCACCACCCCATCTAGGAAATAACCATGGCATGCGCCATGGGAAACTCTGTTTGGAGCCTGGTGGCACCCAGTACCCTGTTCCTCCACCCTGGGTGCCGAGGCTGTATTTTGTGTCACCTGAACTGGGCTGGTGGGTGTGCCTCACTGTCCTGCACAGCCAGCTCACATTTGGGCCTGTCCACTGAGTTGGGCCAGGCTCTGTCCCCAGCATCAGCAGGGGACAGCCGAGGCCACAAGGGACAGGCTTAGGAGCTGAAGCCCCACAGACTGGAACTGGGCTCCCAGCCATCTGCATCCCTCATGCCTCAGCTCCCTTATCTGCCCAGGAGGGACAGGATGCAGCTCCTGCAGGGCCTGGAAGAGGAGAGGGGCTCCCATGAGACCCAGGCCCGATGCTCCATGTGGAGGTGGGAGAGGGTTTGGCTGGCCCTTGGCTCCTCATGCTGCACGTACCTCCACTGTCATAGCAGCAACAAGGGGCCACTGTGGAGCTGCACACCACCCCTCACTGACACAGAGGCATCCTCTGGTTTGCAGACGAGAGGTCTACGTTCCAGAGGAGTCGAGGACATTGAGGGGACAGCTGGCCTACTGCCTGATACCCAGAACACAGAACCCCCAGTGTGGAGAACTGGAGGCGAGCTTGAGTTGTGCAAGTGTGGCCGAGCTGCTCTCCCTGACGCACGCAGAACAACAGGCCTGAGTCCCAGGGTAAAGGCCCAAGTTTGAGTTCCAGTTCTGCCACACGTGTGCTGGGAGCTGTGTCTAGGGCAGCTGTGGCAGGGTGGAACAGCAGTGTTGTGGTCTGGTCCTGTCAGCTTCGAGGCCCTGCAACAGGCCCCAAGCCTGCCTCCATGCTTGGGTGGCATGCCTACAGGCTGGAGCTGGGGCGTGCTCCGGGCAGGGCTTTCACCAGAGGCTGGCAGAGCGACCTAGCACCGGGACTGCTAGGAAGGGTGAGTCCTGGGGCCCCTGCCGGTGCGCACACGTGTGCACATACACACGTGCCCACAAATACAAATCACTCACACATGCACACACACAAGCACAGTCTCCCTGTCAACAGCATCTACCCAGGGTGAGTTGACCCTCCCTGCCCACAAAGGAGACAGAAAAGGACAGAAGTGACATGAGCCATTGCTACTGTCATGAAATAAAAGGCTGCCAGAAAAAGGACCCCTGAAATAGCAAAGTTGCTCAAGAAGCAAAATGAAAAGAAAGATAAGAAAGACGATGGTGACAACCAAGACACAGTGGCAACAGGTGTGACCCAGAAGTAAAAAGAAAACTGCAGAGGAAGGAGAGGGCTCTTGGAACCCTTCTGTTCTCTGTGGTGAGTGAACTAGCTCAGGACAGGCTCATCCCCCGGGAACCGCAGCCGACAACGGAGGCAGGCCAGCACCCGGCCATGGTGGCTCACCTGAGAGAGAGATGTTCTCCTCAGTCCCCACGCCTCGCGCACCCCAACCCCATACAAGAGCAACGCAGCAGGCTGTGGCTGAGTGACGGCCCCCCGTGGCTGCTTCACAGAGTCTGAGTGAGCTGTCTGCGGCCACGCTGTGAGGGGTCGTCTGGAAAGACACAGACCACACTGTGGAGGCAGGACACTCGACTTCCTACTCCGTGTACTGTTCTGTTTCTTGAATTATTCCAATTTCTTAAAATGAGATCTGTTCCTTTTATCACCGTATCAGGAGGACAGGCTGGTTTCAAGATGCTGAGTGGCTGGAGGGGGAAGAGGAAGCCACAGGAGAGGGATGTTGCTGGACAGAGTCTGCAAGGGTCTGCCCCTCGGGTGGCCTGGCACAGGCCCACAGGTCAGTGAGGGATGGCCTGTCCTGACCTTCGGGCTCAGGAAGACCCTCTGGCGGCAGTGAGGAGGGACCCAAGAAGGAGGGGATGCGGTGGGGGTGAGTTATCCAGCAAATCTGCTCCGGTCGGGAGGAGAGGGGCTGAGGGGGAAGGAGGACAGCCCCGAGGCCTGAGGTAGGGCCGTGGGAGGGAGTGAGGGGCAAGGGGACCAAGGAGCCTCGGCCCAAGGACTGGAGCAGGCCCAGTGGCCTGTGCTCGGAGCTTCCAGTCACTGGTGAGCTTTCCATCTGGCACTCAACTGTGACTTCTGTCTCCAGAAGGGGAAATGTTTGGTTTGAGCAAGCATGGCCCTCCAGACAGCAAAGTGGGGTGGGGGCACGTCCTCCCCTGGCACTGCCTGGGCACAGGACAGCGATGCTTTTCCAGGGCCCTGTCTGGGCAGATGCCAGGTGGGAACATGGAAAATAACTATTTTCCCAGGATGTGCAAGGTCCCTGGACTGGCTGCTCCTGAAAAACAAGGACGCTGCCAGAGCTGGGGGCCAGGAGGTTGGTTAAAATCAGCTGTGAGCAGAGGGATGAGTGGTCTTCGGGACTAGGCCTGGGAGAGGAGGGTGGGGCTGGAGGGCGAGGGCAGGAGGAGGGACGGGAATGGCCAGAAGTCCCGGGGAGGCTGAGGTGGAAGACAGCACCCAGTGCCCGGCCTCGGTGGGGGAGCTGGCTCGGCCCATGGGCCGGTCTCGGCGTGTGCAGCCCAGGAGGGAGGCCAGGCTGCCCAGCCCCTGCCCTCCTGGGGGAAGCACACCTCTCTTTTCACAGTAATAAAGCTTTTAACAGGGTTTTGGCAAATTGGCAAGAGAAGTGTATGTAGCTCCTAATTGGTGATTTAAATGCAATCATGAACAAATAAATGCCTGTTCCTATCTCATTATTTATGAGCTGAGTGTGCTTTAAGACAAACGGCCCTTCCTGGGCGGAGGCCAAACCGCCCCGTGTGTACAGGCCTCAGGTGCCTGCCCAGCGCCGCCTGCCGAGCAGGCTCTCCTCGCCAGCGGGGGACCCCAGGAGAAGATGGGAGTGGGTGGTAGACAGAGGGCTCCCATTGCCTCTCCACCATCCCACCCCCACCTGCAGCGGGACTCCAGGCCATCCAATCACTTCTCACGGGCATTTCTTCTCCCATTTCCCTTCAGCTCCTCCAGGAGCTGGTGCCTCCAGCTGCACCTCCTACTCTACCCAGCTTCCTGATATCTGCCCCCATGTGGGGCACTGCTTCCCTTGGGGGACTCTGCCTCTTCAGTCCCTGGGTTGTGGACACCACTGCGCAGTCTGACTAGCCTCCCGCCCCCAACTACTGCTGCCCACTCTGGCATGAGCGCCATCTGACAGCCACCTCCAAGGTTCCATCACACCCACCTCACCCTCCAGCCCCATCCTCTGACACTCCCCCCTGCTTACCTGTGTCCCTCTGCACTGCAGTCGCCACCCGGGTGCCAGCCCTTACCCCCCAGGTCCTAGTCCTGCACATGCCCTCTCACACCAGGGCCCCATTCTGCTCCCCAAAGGACTGCCCTCCCCTACTGTCCTGGCTCCCAGGCTCACTTCAGCTTTACCAGGGCTTTGGTCTGTCTTCCACCACCTCCTGCTGGCCTGCTGGGTGCCTGCCGGTACACAGGCCTGCTCCTGAGCCCTCCGAGGATCTGTCTGGGCAGCCTCTCCCCCAGTACTCCTGATGGCCTTGGCCTTGACACTCGTCCACTTGCACTGAGTTGGGTGCCTGGTCCTGCCACACAGACACCAGTCACCCCTCTCACAACCAGGGACATCTCACAGGTGACCGGGGGCGAGTGCCCATCCCCAGGTCCTCAGAGCTGCAATCCAGCAGACCCAGACCTGCCTCACGGCTCCCCGGGAACCTGGGGCCAGCCCAATGTTCCCAAGACCAGGTGCTGACAACGGGTGTGCCCATGTAGGGGAAACTGAGCCTCCAGGGACTCGAGAATGGGGGCTGGTGCTCACCTCATCACTGCCTCTCCCGGGCACTGCCAGTGTCCAGCGCTGTGGGCCCCTGGCCAGGAGGGAGCCCTTGCAGAAGCCCATGCTCTCCAGACCCATGGAGTCCACGACAGTGTTCCTGCCCTCCGCCAGGTCCCACAGGCACAGCCTCAGGTCCCGGCCCTGACTGCAAAACCAAGCAGAGAGACAGGCCGTGAGCCACCCTGGTGAGCAGACCGCACATCCCACCTGGCCAAACGTCCGCATGCTGTCGCCAACCTGAGGGGCAGGGGACACTTTCCAGAGAGGCTGCTGCTTACGCCAGATCACGGGGCTGGGGCACAGCAGCCAGGGACGAGCTTCTCAGCCCTGGCGTTCACGTGTGCATCTGTGCCTGTGATGCCCAACACCCAGCACACTGGTGGGCATCCCAGGGAAGCGCCACAGACGGAGGCCTGATGTGGTTTTCCTGCCACTCCTCATGCAGCCAAAGGAAGTGCCCTCCCCACTCCCCCCCCCCGTGACTTAATTTTGACCACCTGGCAACCCCACCCTCGGGTATTCTCCCAAGTGAGCTTAAAAACTGCACTCGCACAGAAGCCTGCACGCAAACGCTCACGGCAGTCCTGTGCATAACGGCCCAAGCTGGAAAGGGCTCTTCAGCAGGAGGCGGGATGAGGAACTGAGGTGGGTCTGCACCATACAATTCCACTCAGCAGCAGAGCAACAGACTGGGCCATGTGCAACAACCTGCCCGAATCTTGGGTGCATCTTGCCAAGTGAAGGGAGCCAGAGGCAAAAGGCCACACACTACATGACTCCAGTGGTGTGACCTTGCAGAAGAGGTCAGGACGGAGGATGACAGGGCACTGCCCACGGAGGTGTGGCACAGTTGTTCTCTGCAGGGTGCGGCCTGCTCTGTGTGGCCCCGGGTGGCCCAGACATGACTGTCAGCACCATCAAGCCCACAGATCTATGCCATGAAGAGCAAGCTTCACTGCGTACATGTCAAAAACAATAACCAGGAAGCCAGGGTCCCAGGGTGAACTGCAGGCCGTGACAAATGCAGGGCTCACTGCATGCAGCGGGAGGGCGGACAGAGTCTGACCTGAGGTACCTGGGACAAGTGTGTCGGCTCAATACCTGCTACAAGGTTAAAGGCAAAACAACTGAATAGAAACACAGGACTGCAGCTGGTCCACCTGTTTCCCACAGGGCTGTGGGCTGGCGATTCTGAAACCTCTTTCTGTACACAGCGGGGCTGGACAGAGAAGTACGTAAGTGGTGGGGAGTGGGGGCTGGGTTTCTCCCATCACAGAAAAGCAGGCGCCAAGAGGCCCAGGGGAGGCGAGATGGACCCATAGTTTTGGATTCAAATCAGAGATGCCGGTATAAATGCATGTTTATCCCAAATCCTGTTCAGGTGGACAGACATTCAGGTGCACACGGGCTGCGCCTGAGAGGACCTGGAAGCAGCGACACCCCAGCGGCGATGAGTGTGCCTTGCACCCTGGTCTGCTCTCTTCCCCTTTCTCTAAAAAGAGGAGCCAGGTTTCAGCAGAGATGGCTGGAGTGTTGCAGGTTGGGGAGGAGGCCAAGAGGAGTGCTGAGCATCTTGTGGCCAGAAAGTAAGAAATACTTCTAAAATAAAATGAAGGATGGGGGCATGCCCAGAGGACCCAGGTGCCAAGGCTGGAACAATCTGAGCAATAAAAGAAGTAACTGCGGTGTGGAATCATAACTGAAGAATACACTAAATCTCCATGGGTCCAGACTCATTGGGCAACACATAAACACATGAAGAGGAGATAAACCTACCTTACAGAATCCTAGTTAAAGTAAAACGCAACCAAAAGTAGGGGTACGGGATGCACCGAGCCCCCATGAGAATGCCCCAGTGCTGACTGTGGGGCAGAACCCGCTGATGGACGCTAGCTAGGATCAGTGGGCACAACCTGAGGAGAAACAGGGCATGGGTATTGCTTCAGAGTGTCTCCCAGATGCTCACCACTTGCTGCGGAGGCTTGGACGCAACCACACAGTCTTCGACCCGCCTTAATCCTCACCTCCCTGTCCCTTGAGGAAGGTCCTTGGTGAACACAGGGACTCATCTCCAAGGAGGCCAGTAAGCAGAGGGAAATGTCCCTGAAGGCAGGACACCTGCAGACACACCCTGACCAGGTGACCAAGGTGACCCTCACCAGAGGTGACTCCTGCGGACGTCACAGACCCCAAGATGGTGGGATGAGACTCCTTGGCCTCTGCAGGTCCCCCCCTGAAAGGGCATTGACCCACCTAATCCTGAAACCACGAGGCAAACCCAACATGACGGGCATTCTACAAAACTGCTGACCAGTCGCTCGTCCCAAGGGGCGAAGTCAGGAAAGACAAGGGGAAGAGAAGCGAGCCCAGACCACAGGGGCCTAGGGAGCCATGACCATTTGGTGGGTCCCAGAGGAGGAAAGGATATTGTGGGGATGAGAGAGCCTGCACAAGGCCCAGCATCTCATTGCCGGTGCCACCACCAGTGTTGTGACAGACCTGCCCTGTCACAGGAGACGCCCCGGCCACCAGGACTTGCTGCGGCATAGAGCACTGCTTTCCCCAGGAGACCCACAGCAGCTCAGTCCCATCCACATGTCAACTCCATTTTGGACAACCCACCACGCTGATGTTAAAATGCCTGAACATTTGGACTAAGAATGACACTGTGCCTGCTGGCCTTTGGGGGAAGACAGGTGTGGCAGTATCCTCGACATAGGACGGACCAGAGCCTAATGCAAGAGAGACACATTCACACCGGAGGTGTCTGACTCACGGTCAAGATGGCAGTCATGCCGTAAGCAAAGGGCTGGCCTATTTTTAAGTCACTTTTTATTTGGAATGTTTTGAACCCACAGAACGGTTGTGAGGACAGTAGGGTGACCTCCCACACCTCCGTCACTCATCCCCTAATTGCTAACGCTGTGCACATTCTCTCCTGGCCTGATGCCCATCACCCCAGATGATCCTCACTCGGGGAGAGCCACACCCAGAAGCTCCTTGGCCCCAGGTGGCAGTGGGGGATGGGGGGTGGGGGTGCTTACTGCACTTGAATGAGTGCAGCCTGGAGCTCCTGAATGGCCCAGCATGTGCACACAGGACATCCCACCCATGGGTACGGGGTCCACCTCGCAGACACTTGTGTGCCTGGCACCAGGAGGCCTAGCCGAGAGCCTTCTCCCACCTTATCCACAGCAGGCCCAAGTGGACAACTCAGATCTCCACCGACAACAGAATATAGGCCATCTGGGTATACACATCCGTAGAACACACACAGGAAAAGCCTGCATAGGGCCCTGCAGCCACATGCCCCTCAGTGGGTCTCACAAAGACAGGGCTGAGAGAAAAAGTCAGATGCACTGGAAGCTGTTCTGTATGGCTCTACTTTTTTTGAGTTAAGGGAAAAAAACACACAGACAAAATGAGTCTCTACCTTTTGGAGAGGAACATTCAGATGGTACAGATGAGCAAGGCATGAGAGGTTGCCTCTGGGAGCAGGGCAGACAGCAGGCTGGCGGAGCTCTGCTTCCTGCTGGGAGTGGTGACACAGGTGTCCACTCTGTGATACTACAGCAGTCTGCAAACTTGTTCTGTGCACTTTTCTGTGAGTACGTTACACCTCACAATAAAATAAGCTGGAGACATACCCACCCAGGTGGCTGTCGCAAGCACAGGTGCGTCCTCGAGTCTGTGGATGGTGCTGGGGGTGTCTGTGGAGCTGCCCCTGGACTTTCTGAAGCCCTGTATACAGCCTGGCGAAGGCCGGGCCCCTCGCTTCTCACTTTTTGTCCTCCAGCCTCTGACATGAAAGCTCACCTTCCTCCCTCAAGAGCCACTTCGGAGACTTGGCTTCCAAACACAGCTGGGCGCGTGGCCTCTAGTGCAACGTAAATGCACCTGCGCATTCCAAGCACCTGCACAGTCTGCATTGGAGACCTCCTCACCTACAGGTCCCCTGCCTGGAGTGGGGCCACCACAGTGCCACCCCGACTGGAAGGAAGAATGCATCTAACATCTCCTCACCAGGAGCTTGCCACCCTGCACCGCACTGGCTCAGATTTCTGTGGAGTGAAGCCTCAGAGTAGGGTGTCAGGCACCAAGCACTCACAGCCATGGGCTCCCAGATGACAGCCCAAGATGCCTGGGCCCTGTAAGAATAGGAGGCCCTGAAGGGCGTACACCTGAGCTGAAAATTCTGCAGAACATTTATAAATGGCAGCTCCCAGTACAAGTGGCTTAGTGGGGCATTCAGACAAGATAGCTGTTGTATTATCAGGGACAGACCGACACTGTGAGGGCCCTGTGCACCACATGTGGGTGGGGGGCATCTGGGCTGCCTGGCCCAGGAGACAAGGCCATGTGAGGGCTGTACACACACATGTGTCTAGGGCCACAACCTTCCAGAACGCCTCTGGTCTCTCAGTCACTTTCGAGTCACCTTCAGGTTGGCAGGAGCAACATGAGTCTGGCATAGAAGTGCTTTGCAGGCCAGTGGAGTCCCAGCAGGCTTTTTGCTCTGGGCACTGGCTCCACGGTGCACAGACAGATGTCCAGGCTCCAAGTCCAGCGCAGGAGAGCAGGCCAGTCCTGCAGTGGTGGGGCACAGAGCATTTAGGAGAATGGCACTGCGATTTGGCAGATCCCTGAGCTGGGGCAGCCATCCCCCAATGGTGGCAGACATCAGCATGACCCAAAACGAGAGTCAGCTCTAGCAGCTAGGTAGGCGTCCGACTCCCTGCACACTCTGCTGGTGTGCACATACAGCAGACACAGCTCTGCACACACAGCCCTGTCCTGTCCTCTCTCTCACCATGGGAAGCAGGGAAGCCCCTCCCAACTTGCTCTCTCACCCACTTGCCCCTTCCTGTCGCCTCCTGGCCCATTCCTGTCTGGAGTCCCTGGCCTGTCACCTCCACAAGGCGAAAGCAGCAGTGCGGAAACAGAATCACTCTGCTGCCCAGCCCTCAGCACCTCACAGCGCCTTGTGACACTCACAGGTTGGGCCCACCACAGCCTCGGCAAACGCCCTTGCTCCTGCCATTTCCTGCTGACCCCTGGCTGGCCAGCCCTGAGGGCTGTAGATGTGGGCAGCTATGCGATGGTCCCAGTGCCACTGGAGGTGTGTGGAGCGTCTCCCTGACCAGCCTGGCGAGCTTTAGGCTCGGGCTCTGTGTGCTGCCCAGTGCCCAGTCTTCATCACCTTAAAGGAAGGTGGCTTTGTGGCGAGGGAGAAGGTTATCTGGCAGAGTGGTGCTGTGACACCAGAGCCCGGGGCCTGTGGGAGGGAAGCTGAGGCTCCTCTGAGAAGCTCAGGTTCAGCTTCGGGACCCCGGCTCCCACCACTGGGGAGCTGTAGCAGGCCAGGCAGGCTCTGCTCAGGCCACAGAGCTGTCCTACACGTTCATAAGGCCCTCTGTCAGGGGCACTAGCCAGAACAGCACTCGGCACACCCCATACGCACTGTCTTAGGATGGGCTGAGAGCAGAGGTCACACCCTGTTCTGCTCTTGGGGGAGGGGCAGCCCAAGTGGCTGGGGGAGCCCACGAGGGCCTCAACCTGGCCCCCATGAGGGCCACGCATGGCTCCTTTGGAACTGCCACTGAGACCTACCTGAGGAGCTGGGGCCCCTGGGGCAGTGTCTGCAGCCAGATCACACACTGACCCCCGTGCCCATCCAGGGTGGTTAGCGCCCTCCGTGTCTGCAGGCTCCAGATGTGCACCAACCCGCTCAGGGACCTGTTCAGGCAAGTGTGGGAGCAGGGTCAGGAGGAAGCGTCGGCGGAGGGTGGACATGCCCGGCACACTCCACAGGGCCGGTCTGGAGGCCACACCGCTGGTGGACCAGGTGTTCTAGCTGCTTGAGATTTTAGCTCAGGCGCGAGTTCTAAATACCAACTAAGGTTAAAAGGGGCACATGCTCCTCTTCCAAGGGGCCCACAGGAGCCTCCGAGGCCCCCTCAGGTAGGGCCTGCCCTTCAGCAGAGGGAGGAGGGCTGCCACTGACAGTGCACCCTGGGTGGCACCTATAACAGTATGGGCGTGTGTCCCTGCATCCTCAAGGGGGTGAGGCCCCAGGGGACAGCATGTCAAGTGGGCTGTAAAAGTGTCTGGGCAACAGGCAGCCTGAGCCCCTCAGTAGGACCCCCAAATAAGCACTGAGCTCATTGCTAGCACCTCAAACTTCACCCTGGGCTGGCCCTGGGGGTGGGTCCCCAGCAGCTACTCACCCTGAGATGAGGAGCGGGTGCCCCTGCCCTTGGGCGCCTTCATGGAAATGCAGCGCTTGCACTGCGGACTGGGTTCCTCGGAGGACAAACTGCGGGTCTGGCGGCGGGGACGGCCGGGCCGCCATGCTGGGTAAGGGTGCAGTCACCTGTGGACCAAGAGAGGTATGCGAGTGACTGACCCACCTGTCTGCCCTCAGAAAAGCAGCAGGAGGCCTCCCTGGACACTGCCCACCCCTTCTTCCATCTGCCTATCAGCCTCTGCACCCAGTGGGACCACCCTCGTTCCAGCGTGTGTCATCCCGGGAACACACCTGCCTGGCACAGAGCCCTCCAATGGCCTCTAGGAATTCCAGTCCAGCCACCAGCTGCACCATCTGGCTCCCTGGCTCCCCCTGGCCACTGGAGCAGTCCTCCTTGTCCAGGCTGGGCAGAGGTCGCTCTGACTCTGGGCCTGGCTGGGTCCTATCTTCAGGTAAGGCCTCACTCCAACTCCTCCTCCCTCAGGAAGCGTACCCCATCTAACCCTCCCAGTGAACTCAGAGTGTGGGAAGTCCCGGGGGGCCAGAGGGGTGAGCAGGACCAGAAGATGGAGCAGACCCTCTTCCTCACAAGTGCTGCAAATGCTGCCCGCTGGGTCTTGAGCCTGAACACCTACAATGGCTAATTGTCACTGCCACCCTTCAAGGAGGCAGCACCCTCTACTGTTGGGGACAGGACAGTCCAGTGAGCTGCCCTAGGCTCAGGTCTGGCATGTTCCAGAGCCTGCTACTGTCAGAGGGGCAGAGGGGCTGGCACAGCAGTGTGTGTGGGGGGGCGGGGGACTGAATCGCCCTGCTGCTACCCAGGAGGGGTGCTATCGCAGGTGAGAGACCCTTCCTCTTATCACTGGTCCTGTGTTTAAGGCCTGCTGGGGCTCATCCACACCAAAGGAGACTACACCTAGTGTCCCCACCAAGCCTCCCCTAACCACCCAATCCTGCAGAGTCCCCGGAGGCCTGTGTCCTTTCATGCCACCTCAGTCTCACAGGCAGCAAGGGACTCAACAGTGCAGGGGTGGCTGTTCTCAGCAGGTGTGTGTGCGCGTTGGGAGGGAGCAGAACCAGAAGTGGCCTGCTCCGACAGTCAGGGGGCACACCTGTCTGCCCGCAGGTCCAGGCTGGGCTGAGGATGCTGGACTCTGGGACAGCTCCCAACCCATCCACCTCCAGCCTGTACCCAGAGCAGGGAGGAGCTGTTTACCCAACCACAATGTCAGCCATAGCCACCAGAGGACCCAGAGTAGATAAGACAGGAAGGGTTCCTCCAGCAGGGAGCCTTGGCCAGGTGGATGATGCCAGGGGTCGAGAGGGTTCTGGGCCTAGGACGGAGGCCCATGCAGGAGGGGCTGCAGGCCAAGGCTGCGCACATGCATGGGCAGCAGAGGCAGCAGGGGTGTGGGCGATAGTCCAGGACCCACGTCAGCTGTGCCCTCAACCAGCAAGCCCTGCACCTCCCATCCTCAAAAGCATCCAGGCCCTTTCCTTCTAGTCTGTCTTCAGAAGAGAGCCAGGAGCAGTTTGACTAGAGCAAAAGGTTTAAAACACTTAAGAAATGCCACTGTTGAAGCAGCTGGGGACCCCACGAGGCTCTAGGTCACCTGAGAGCAGAGGGAGAGCAGCAACCAAAGCCTGGAGATCACCAGAGCCTGTGCAAGGGGGCGGGGAGGATCCGGCCACAGAGACCCTCAGGAGGTCACTGCCAGCACCCAACTGAGGTCTGGCCACCATGAGGCAAGTGGAAGCAGAGCTGGGCCCTAGATCCTAACGACTGAGAACGATACTCCAGGGCCAAGGCCAGGAAGGGGTGGCCCCAGCCTCTGACTCCAGGGTGGACAGTCGCCCTTACTGGCCACTCTACCACTAGATCATGCCTCTGTCATGGGGTCTTAAAGAGAAGGAAGGGGTCCCTAGGAACATGCTTCACAAATAGCCAAGTCTCTGCTTCTCTCTCTTCCTCTCTCTCAAACTTTCCCGCCTTTGGCTAAAGGCCAACAGATTCTTCCCAAACACAAGAACAGCCTCCAGTGGGGAGCAGAGGGCTCCAACCCCACACTGCTTCATGATATGGTCTCTGGTGGGACAAGTAAGCCACCTAGAGATGCCCGTCAGTCCAGGGCCGCAACCCCTGCAGTGGCCACCCCTGGGCCGGCTGGCTTGGTGGACACGTTTAGAGAGGCAGAAGTTGAGCCCACAGAATCTCTGCCTGCCTCTGCTCTGCCAGCCCCTGGAGGGCAGCTGGGTGGTGACAGGCACAGGGGTACTGGGCCCCAGACTCAGAAAAACCCAAGAATGCAGGCCCTGCTAAAGCACCTCAACCCAGGTGAAAGCCCCAGTTCAGGATGGGCGATCACCCCTCCACTTAGTCCAAGCCACAGAGTCCAACAGGCCACCTTTGCAGGGATCCCACTGTGCAGTGCTGACATGCGCACACCCACTATGTTCCCACTCATGCACACGCACACACACATACATACAAGGGGGCACCCAGAACACCCTGGAATTTATTTATAAAAAATGTGTGCTTATTCTCATGTTTAAACTTCAGTCACCTTCAAAGTATCTCCATCTCACGCAATACACCTATTGAGACCTTTTTCCTACTGCTCAAAACAGTTTTTTAACTTGTTAATTTTTATGCCTTTTAGTGCTTCTGCTGTTTTTTTGTTTCACCTCTTCCACATTAACAAAACATTTCCCTTTGAGGACTTTCTTCAACTACGGAAACAAACAAAAAGTCGCTGGAGTGAGATCGAGTGAATAGGGAACGTGGGGCACTGGGGTCATGCTGTTTGGGTAAAAACCTGCTGAGTGTGTGTCCACACTCAGTGTGGTGTAGACAGGTGTGCTCATAAATCACCCATCATGAAATAGGCAAATGTGCTAAAAGAGTCTTCAAAAAAACTTCACTGAAGCTGAATGCAGCCTCTCACAACAATTCCAGCTGGTGCACTGATACAGATGGGCTCCTAGGACACTCACCTAGCAGGGAAGCCTGTACTACAAGGGGCCCACCCTCCAGAAGATAATTCTAGTTTTTTTGTGGGTCCTCCATATACACATATGCACACACATACTTATGGGCACACACAGGTGTGCGCGCACGCGCGCACACACACACACACACACATATACCTGCAGTGCCAGCTAAAACCCAGCCTGCACTTGCCCCCTGCTTGGGGCCCGAGAGAAATTTCCAGAACTTCACCAGCACAAGGCTTACTCTGCAGTGATGAAATCAAGTTCTCCTCCATTGTTTCCCCAGAAGTGCAGGGAATAAACCCGTCACGTTACAACAACCAAAATGCTCAGGCCAAAATGATGCATCGGCAATTAAGGGCTCCATCATTCCAAGCAATTAAAATAAATGCTTTATTTGAAAACTAATTAATTCTAGCTACATATTTTTCCCATGACAATATCCAATGATTGCTTGATTTATGACATCTAATTATTCTTTATTTATCTAATTGAGAATAATCGCATTATCCTATCTCCCCTGGCACCAGCTGCCCGGAGCAGAGGCTGCAGCCCCTTGCGCAAGGCCGATGTGCGATAGAGCCAACGCCCCCTCCTTTCCCTGTTCTATCACTTGTCTCTTCCTCCCGGAGGGCGAAGGAACATGAAACTTAATCCACTGAGCACAACTTCGTATTCTGCCTGCTCTTCAAGATGTCAGAGCGAGACACATTCTTCTAAAAATTAAAAAGCAAGATAATCTGACACAATTTGCACAACTCTGACAGCCTTTCCAACTGATGCTACAAATGCCCCCAAAAGCCCTGAAGGCCCTCAGCCCACAGATGACGATGACAGCATCCCCCTGTGTCTCCTCAGCAGCAGCAGCCGGGCAGATCTCAGGGTTACCCCCGGAGAGGAGACTCAACCTTCCCCCAGGTGTGGGGGGCAGTGGACAGGTGTACTCACCCTCCCACTAAGGTCACACACCTTGGGCAGGCCTACTGGCCACAGGGGTCCAAGGACACCCCTCGTGGCAGAGGCAGGAATGTGTACCTAAACAACCAGGTGTGCGTAGAAACTGGCCACAACCCACAGGGGCTGCATCAGCAGATGGAACCATGGATTCGAGCAGATGGATTCAAGAGGCAGATGCCCAGAGACCACAGCACGCGACCTGACATTCTGGAGCTACTAGGCCTTCACACCTCTGTGTGCCTCAGCCTGATCCACCAACAGGTTGAAGGGCTGCCCTGGGCATCTGCCCTGCACTGAGTCACACACCCCTTTCCTTTTGTTGCAACAGGACCCTGGTTCCGTGAAGAAGCCTAGAAATCGAGAAAGAGTAGCAGAAGTGAGCCAAGTGCAGGGGGGCACCACCCAGCAACACTGGGCACTGCCCCAGCTCGCTGGGTCCTGCCTCACTGTGTGTGTGTGGCAGCAAGGACAGGCAGCACGGATTCTGGAAATGCCTTAGACCCTCAGCCCAGAAGTCCGGCCCCACATGAGCCACCTCCAGCAGGCCCCAAGGCCCCTGAGCATCCCACGGCCAGCCCAGACGGGGGAGGCACCACTTCCCAGCAGAATGCATGTCCTGACTGGCCCTCTCCCTTCCCAAAACAAATGAAAATGATGATAAAATTAAAAAACACAAAACCTTCACTACATCATTAGGTTGATTTTCAAGAAGTCTGGAACCTCCAGAGGATAAACACGAAAGGAAAAAGTCAAACATAGTAAGGTTGGTGGAGCCTGAGGCTGGCTCCTGCCCTGGAGACATTTGTTGTACCAGTGACCGGGAGTTCCTGCACGGGAGAGTGACCCGTGCAGATCACCTGTTTCCCAGCAACCTTTTCACCCCCTTGGGCCCATGAAAGACAAAATGTAGGGCCCTCTCAAGGTCGGTAACCTCAAAGGAGCATCTGCAGAAAGATGAGACCTCACAGGGCCACATGCTCAGTGTTAGGCTGAACTGGAGCTAAAGCTGCACCCAAGGGTGCCAAAACAGGTTTCAGCCCTAATTCATACCACCTTGGGCGGTCCCTAAAACTTCAGCCTGGGAAGTCTCTCAGAAGGAGCTCACCTGCAACCCAGGCCTCAATGCATTCACAGACACAGCCCTACAAAATCAGGCTCATAGTCAAAACTCTTCA